GGATGCGCGTTGCACGGTGTGTACACTTTAAAATCGCACGCGAACAAGAGCGGCGTGTGTGAGAGGTGGATGAGAGGGGGTGAATTAAAAAGCAAGAGCGACAGGGAGGTTGGTAAACAGCGGTGAGAGGTCAGGGTGACGTGTGCGAAGGGGTGACTGGGCGAGAGACGCGAGTGAGTGTGAGACGTTGAGGAGTGATGGGTTGAGGCAGGGTTGGCAGGGTGAGAGGGGGTGTGCGAGAGAAGGTGAAACGGAGTGCGAAGCAGGCGAAGAAGGCACGTTCTGTCAATTTGTCAATATTGTCATGATTCGATATGGTCGATTGGTATGCCTACGATTGAACCTCCATTACCAGGTGAATGTACGGAAACAAAATATTCTTAATATGATTCAGTACGATTCTTATAATTATTATCATTATTATTAATTAATTAATTAATTGATTATCATTATGGATTATCATTAACAGTGCGAGAAGTAGGAATATACCAGACGAACACAACCGGAAATAAAAGCCAGATGTTTAAAAGCAAAAGAAAAAGGCAAAAAAAATAAATAAATAAATAAACAAATAAATAAGAAAGGCAACCACTTATATATTATTGTACATATTTACTTGTAACTGCTATTCGTATTGCAGAGGTTTTGTTCTCTCAACAAATGATTTCCTCGATTCTGCGGGAAGAAAAAAATGAATAAAATAAAATTTGTGTATTATTGAACTGTGTCAGTGGTTTTTCTTTTTTTTCTTGTTTTTTTTGTTTGTCCCCCGTTTATTCCTGACGGTTCCGAATGTCGCGGAATCGAATTGAATGTTCGATTCGACGCGTTCCAGTCGCATTTTAATTTTCTTTTTTACTTTGCACCCTCTTTCCCGCGCGAGACGTCATTTCCGCGTCGGGGCGAGATCGTTCCGGGGTAAAGCGAATCCATGGATCGTTCCGTAACGTCGCAGCATACATTTCTATGTCGCGGAGATAAGTTATCGTTCACGTGCATGTCGATTTCATTTGACGCGCTCCCTTCTCCGCACTGGAAGATCAAACGCGATACGTGGCGTTCCGTCGCCATCTTGTGGATTTATGGCCGTAACAGAGTATTGATTTCTTACCTGTGGCAAAAATTATCGGCACCGTCGATAGAAAGTATTTTTTCCAGAAATACAAAGGCAGCATTAATTCGTCATTACCGCAATCGTGCATTTCGTGAGATTAATCGATTGGAGGAGATGAATTTCGCGCTTGAGAAAAGAGTTGCCGATCAGTTATACGATTTCGCATGAAGTTATAATTACAAATTATCACTCAATTTTTGACATTTCTGAATTCAAAATATTCTATCTTAAATTTTATTTTTCACGTACGCTGTTTAGGATATACTTTGAAATAATATTCAATTCTCCATACTGTGGGATTTGTAATTAATCAAGGGCAAGGTTTTAAGTAAATCTCAAGTTTAATATCAGTTTATAATTAAATACTCGCAACGCTCACAATTCTCTCTCAATACTCTCTGTATTACTCCGTTTGCTCCAACTCGCAATTCTCACACACGACACAAAATCAAAATGGCAAAAGACAAAAAGCAAAAAGCCAGAAACAAAAGGCACCTTTCCCCATGCATCCCTCCCAATACACCAGTCACTCATTCACATACTCACACACACGAACCCCGCGGTCATCGCCTCTAATGTTTCGCTCTCATTCTTATTTACATTCTCACTCTCTTTCACTCGTTCTCTCTGTCACTCACTCTTTCGGTTGTTTATGTCAGAATGACCGACAGCTGATCGGTAGTCCTATATTCACAGCTAATCGATAATCCTACAATACAATAAACGTTTCTAAGCAAAACCATCATTGTATGCATTAATTTACTACTTTTTGCAACCTAATGACAATACATAGCGAAAATAAAATTCCTTCCCACCCCTTTAATTTACAAAAGAAATAATGTATAACAGTCTTGCATACTATATCTTAAAAAATATAAGGTTCAACACCCTTTCCTTTTTTAATATGACAAAAACCTTTTGCCTGGCTAAAGGCAACGAAAAATACACCAAGCAAAGAATTTTTTAACAATAAGACAGTCATTCGCCTACGTTTTGAAATGCTTTATTTTCGCCCGAATAAAGCGTACAGTCTTTCATGATTACTTCGACGAAGTCAGCTGCCGGAGGCGGTTAAAACAGCTTCCATTTTAACTCTCGCCCAAAAACTGCGTTTGCGATGCTCGGCGAAGAAGGAAAAGGGGGGGCCGATATGAAAGCCGAAACAGGAAACGTAAGCGACTCGAACAAAAACGCAACTTCATCCACGACTTCAATCGCAAGAAAGCATCCACATTCGGCCATTGTGCCGCGCAGCAAAAAAATGTTCTGCGTCTCTGGCTCGGTTCCTCCGTGCAAAAGCCAAAAGAATGTCAACGACACGGGGCGCAATAAAAATCTGGGAATCGAGTGCTCCCGAGACGGTACAGCGAGCGCGTTGAATCGACGGAACAATGGAGGAAACGATGTCGTTCTACTTGCTTCGAGGACAATTTACAGGTAGACTCAAAATGGCGTAGCCTTGACAAGGCAAGCGTTACCACGCACCCTACTAATTAGGTAGAACCGGTACAATCGACCCTCCTCTGAACTAGTTTCACGAATTTCACCCGCGAGCCTATAGCGTTCCCTTGAGATTGATAAAACTTAAAGTATTTCAGGGACCCGAGAATTTACCGGGCTTGGCGAATGTCGGTCAGGTGACAAAGTTTCGAGAAGTTGCACTGTTTGCGAAGTTTTAATTACGTTGGATTTTTGCCGCGAACTTTACCGAGTTATATCAATTTTTGAATGTCATTTCGAGGTGTTGGTATTGAGAAAGATCTTATGTTCTATTCGACTCCATTTTTTTTATTTGAAAATGAGTGAGACAATGAAGTCTGGTATTTAATCTCTTACTTTATGATCTCTTTCTCAGGCTTGGTTGATACGACAACTTTATGATTAATAATTTCTTCAAAGAGAGAATAATTATAGGTATTTTGTAACTATGTTTGGTTTAAAGGATAATGATTGATAATAGAAGAATAATATTTAATTTAAATATGGAAGAATCGAGTAATATTTATGTTTGTTAAATTCTACTTGCTATTTTTACCACGAGTCTAACACGATTTTATAAGGCAAGGAGTTAAAAGAACATTCGATTCCACAGTTTTTTAGGAAGATGTTGGAGCGTGAGGAATTAACATGGTTTTTAAAAAATTGCAACTACCATAGTATCTACAGAAATTTTACTAAATCTCATCGACTTTCTCAGGGTGTTTTGAATCCTCTTAACTCTGAAGTACTTAACTACATCTTCAAACCACACCAAATTTAATTCTCCCCCATTTAAGCTGCTTGCCGAAATATTCTACCCAGCGTCAATTCGTGTGACGATAATTTTCTAAATCTAGGTAAGGGGTACTGGTAAGTATATAAAGTGTTTGTAATTGCCTTTCTATTATACCGAGCTTTTGAAACTTGATGAAATTTTAAATACTTGCGTCAGCCATCAGAAGTTAATACTTTAAAAGATGTCTTAGGAAGTCAGAATAAAAGGAATTTGAAAAATATTTGGTCGTGTATAATATTTCATCGTAATATTTTTTAACAAAAATTTAGTACGCCGGAATGAGTCACATAATTGTAGATTTTAATTTTAAGGATTTACGGGAATTCTTTTTAAAAATTTATGAAAGGTTTCCCAGCGCGAATAAAAATTGTTAGACGCGAACGTGTTCTACATTTATTTTAAAAAGTAAGGTACGAGTGTCAAGTTTGTGGAAAATTAAATTTTGAATACGTAATAAAGTTAGCTTCATCTTTTAAGGTGTACTCGGACAATTATAATTAGAGCTACGTAACTCTAGAACGGAACAGCCTTTAGCGTGCAACAAACCCTAAGACCCTACGTCCGCATCGTTCGCAAAACTAAATGGAAAACACTTCAAGAACATTCCCTTAATTTCATTTTATTCTCGCAAGTTACATTGCTTGTTTGGTCATTCGAAAGTTTCTCAAGCTAGAGGTTACAGAGACAGTGAACTCTAAATTACAGCTTTTCCATTAAAGAATAGTGTTTGTGCTGACAAATATCTTGAAAAAATGACTATTACTGTTACTACAATCATAAATCTTAATTTTTTAAAGTAATTAATAAGTAATTTAATAAAGTGTACATACAGTTTCTTTTATTTCTATACTATGATTATTATATGATTATTACTATTACTACAATCATAAATCTTAATAATCATACTCATGCAAACGTAAAGTTCTTCTCGAATTAATTAGAAGTTTGTTTTCCTTTAATATTCTATCTGTATAGAAATAAAAGAAATTGTATATACACTTTATTAAATTACTTATTACACTAAGTTTTATACAATTGTAAATACTTCAGTGCAATTATTGTTATATTTAAATACAGTATAATAATATAGAAATTCAGTAATTGAGAAGTATTTAATTATTAATTAATTTAGGTTATCTCAATTATATCAGTTTTGGGAACCTAATCACAGATAGCCAAGAACTACCTAACAATATATTATTAATTCACTATTGTGGTAGATGATAACAACAATTAGATTCTTTTTTAGTTAGTATATACATCCTTTAACCATTTAAAAAACTGGGGGATAATAAAAATTTGCAACTTATTTACTAGAATTATTTACTACATTTAAATAATGCTGTGACATAGGCAAGCTGAATATTCTAATAAATCTTCCTTCTTTTCGTAAAAATTTCCCCTTCTTCTTATTATATTATACCTTCAGTCATACCAATAACAATTTCACTAATCCGTTTAATCGTTTTCCAATGAACTTATTTCAAACACAATGGCTAAAAATAAATGTTATATTGACTTAATAAAAAACCTCTTCCTCTTCAAATGATACCACTGAAGTTCCAACGTACGTCAAATGAACAACTGACAATCGCTATTGAGTAGTTAGAACGACTCAAGCGGTTATGCATTACATAATCAGCAAAAATAAATGATGCAGGAAAGTGAATAAATTTTTAGTGTCATCGCAATTTGCCATGTTGAAAACGATTTCTCAACTGACTACCGCAGTATCACCTTTTCAAGTATGGCTGAAACGTCAGCCAGTGTGCAGCTTGTACTGTGCGGTCGTATGTTTCGGTGGTTCGTGTAACGATTTATTTCGCGTTATTACGCATCGTGCTAAATGTTCCGCGATTCGGCTGCACAACGCTTCGAGACTGAGGAGTAGTCAGTCAAACGGAAATTGTGTCAGCACATGCAGCGGAGTAGAAAAAGGCGAAATGGCACCAACGCGTGTTATTCTTATGTCGTGTGGCAGTTATAACCCTCCAACCAATATGCACTTGAGAATGTTTGGTACATATATATTATCGTAATCGATACTCAATCTTTACGTAAACAACAAAGGCTTTCACTTATACATAACGCACACCACGAATTTCGTCGTAATCGTTGCCTTTAATCGTCTAAATAAACATCATTTAGATAACATCTTGTAAACAATCGCGATTGATTTGTATCCTCTAACTGAATTATTTCAAATGTAGAAAACGACGCAGATCTTTGTCTTCTAAAAATAAAAATTATCTTCTTTCCTGTGTTTTCTATGTCATCCTTGGCAGTTTAATTTAACACAGTTTGTCCTCAAGATGTAAAAAGAGGGTAAGGTTAACTTTTTATGAAATACTTGCAGAAATTGCCAGAGATCACCTCCATCGAATGGGAACGCATATTGTGGTTGGCGGTGTTATATCTCCAGTACATGATGCATATGCTAAAAAAGAATTGGCAAGCGCAACTCATAGATGTGCTATGTTAAAATTGGCCTTACAAAATAGTGATTGGATTCGATTGAGCACTTGGGAGACCAGGCAAAATGGATGGACGAAAACTAGAATTAGTTTACAGCATCACCAAAATTTGTTAAACTCTGTTATATTTGATCCTAATACTTTGAATCATATATCCAGTGAAGATTTGGAATGGATACCTGAAAATGTGAAAAATAGTTCTGATCGTACTCCAATTCAAATTAAATTGCTCTGTGGTGCTGATTTATTAGAAAGTTTTGGAACATATGATCTTTGGGCTGAAGAAGATGTAAGTTTCTATAATTATATTATTGTATTATACTTTTTTATTTATATATTCAAGTCATGGTGTGCTTATTCACAGATTGATGCGATTGTTGGTGAACATGGTCTTGTAGTTATTACCAGAGAGGGATCTAATCCCAACAAATTTATTTATGACTCAGATATTCTCTCCAGGCATATGGTAAATAATTATTGAACAGTTATTATTATAGAGTCTATTTGTCTCATAGGCTTTGTGCGTTTCTAAATTATGTGCTTATTTTCTGTGTAGCACAATATATACATAGTAACTGAATGGATTCCAAATGAAGTTAGCTCAACTAGAATACGGAGGGCACTAAAGCGGGGCGAGAGTGTCAGGTATCTCCTACAAGATGCTGTGATTGATTATGTCTATAAACATGGGATTTACGATGCGAAGACATCAGCGTCCACAATGTGAGTCTGACATAATTTAACAGAAATGGTAGTTCAAATAAATAGTAACAGTTTAATAGCATATCTTCCAGTAGATATACACAAGACTTTATTTTTACATATTTTGAATGAGAAGTGTATATATATTTTTATAGCACTCATATTCCACGTAGTTGGTGAGTTTAGAGTATGTAAAGCTATTATGCAAAATGATATGAACTGTATATTTTCTGATTAAAGATTAACCCTTTTAGTACTCAATAATATTGGTATATCAATGCTAAGAACATTTTATAACGTATATATCTATTTTTGAACGTTGTTCAGAACTTGTGTGAATATTGTATTATAGTGATGAAAAAACTTATTAACAGTTATATGTACTTGTATACTTTTGTAAATAATTAAATATTTTAAGAAATAGAATAAAGTAGTAGAAAATGTATGTACTATTTCCTAAATATACATTCCAAACAATAACCTATATCAGATAAGGTTATTAAAAATTAAATAATTTATTTCATGAATCACTATAGCTTAGTACTTAAAATAATATTTTTTAGTGTACTTCTATGACTAATAACGTTACAGTGTGACTTGTTCAAATTTTAATAAACATTTAGATTATACATTTTATAGTGTATAAGAATTTATTGAATGTTAAAAGGGTTAAAATTCTATAGAACTATTATATGATGATAGATAATAGTCTAGTCTAAGAGTCTTCCATGTTATGTAAATTGAGTCTCAAGAATCAATTTTTCACTGTTGTAATTATAAATAAATTTTAGCAATCACGTTATTTTATATTCCTTACACTGCATTAAGCTTCTGAAGTAGTTACAAGAAGGTGTCTCTATTTAAAGCAGTATTTATTATTCTCCAGGATTTATATAAACACATATAAAACAAAAATATTAAATCCTTTTTTTCATTGTTCTCAATGTACATTTAACTATAGTGCAATATGCATTCTCTAACTTTCACATAAAACTATAAAACAGAAAATAACATTGAAAATGCGTTTCAAAATTCAAACTCAAAAATGGACACGCCCTCTCGATCTACTATCGCAATAAAGATACCGATTCACGGATGAAGGTGCAAATACCCTGTATTCCTAAATTCGACACAAAATATACATACGAAATACTTTATTAATTTTTCTACAGTGAACCATTAATTAGTCCTTTGAATCTCGAAACCGCCGAAACCATCATCAAATCGAAGAAAAATTTCGTATTAAGGCCTTTGTGCATGAATCGGATTCACAGTGCACCCAGAAAACCTACTCAGTACCATATAAAACATAGTGTCTTGTTTTTCACGCTGCCAATCTCCTTGGACACTGAAGTAAGTTGGAACTGACCTCGCCGAACGCGAATAATTACTTGACCATTGATTCCAAGTATCAAAGCACGTTTCTTACGCCGTCGCCTAGCGACGTAACCATGGAATCCCCGAGTCCGATCGAAATAATATCCATCGACGTGCCGGACACGGTACTGCGTAAGAATATCCAGAACGCGGGCGGCACGGGCTCCCGTCACGGGGGCCTCGAAGAGGCCCGCGAAAAGTTCATAAACGCCCTAGTCGCGGAGAACGGTAACGGCAAGCACTTAACCACCGCGAAGGCCGCGTACCCGGGTCTCGCAAAACAGATCATCGCCACCGAAACCGGCGAGTCGCAGATCCTCGACGAGGTAGGTTTCGTTGACGATGATAGGAGAGGCAGGAAGAGGGTCGTTAGAGTCCAGCCACGGTCCAGTCAGGTAGAACAGGCGTCCCCGAGCGTCGCCACCTCGTCGAATAACGAGGACGCCGCGGTACAGGTCCCCAAAAGCCAAAGCGTCGAGCCTAGGGATCTCTTAGACGAGAATAAAACCCGAACGGCGCCCGAAGGCGACACACTGGGATTAACCGACGGCAAACCGGCCGATCGTAAATCTTCGGTGTCGTCTTCGGGCGTCCCCGTATCAGTAGATAACAGCGGTCGTCACGAGTGCGCTTTGTCAGACTTCAGCGTAGACAAAGAGGATTACAGACTCACGCGGTATGGCTTAGATGCCGCGCTGGATGACGAGGCGCACGAGCAGAGTGAGGATCCTGCCATGGGTGAGCAGCCTGATCGTCAGGAAGGTGTCGAGTTCGGAGAAAATTTCCCAAACGATAGCGCGAGATGTTCCAATACCCAGGTCCTGGTCCTTGTTAGCGCCATGATCCACAATCCCTTCGAGAAAGAGGGCGCGGCAACTTTGATCTTGGAAGAGAACGGGGTTCACAGTAAAGGGGAGATTACGATATTCAAGGGTGAGTCCGATGGGAGTATCGATAAGGTTTTATTGGTACAGTCGCCTGTGCCGTCCTCGATCAGCGACGAGAGTACGGTTAAGATTCAGGAAATCGTTGACGATCCTTCGGAGCCCTTGGAATCGAAACCGGAGGGTCAAATAGGTTCGGATGAGACGTCCAACAAGCGGGACGTGAACCTCGAAATCGATGGTAAGTATCTGAAGTCTGTGGTGAACTCTCGTAAGAGTCCTAGGAAGACGAAGAACGGTCAGATGCGATTACACAGCGAGGATGCAGAGAAGCAAATGAAGGATGACAATGAGACAGAAAAGAAGAACACTGATTCGTATACGCAGTCCGAAGAAACCGTCTACCAAACGTTGTCGGAGACTTCTTCGAAGATTTCTTCAAAGATAAAGAGTCCCAGGAAAGAAGGAAAGTCGTCTCGATCCCAGAAATCGAGCAGCACTTCTAAGACTTACGAGTCTGCGATCAGTGACGAGAGATCGAAGAAGGATTCATCGATGACTCAATATTACACGCCGTTGAAAGGGAGCTTGGACTCCGTGATCGTCACCAGCGATTCGAGAACAGTCTCTAGGCGGCGAGTAAAGGCCAACGAGACTTTTTCAAAGAAATCTAAGAGCTACGAGTCGATCAAAAAGATTCAAGAAGTGTGCTACGAAGATTCCAAAGCTGACAGCACTTCCCAGCTAATCACGGCCAATGAACTGGACATGCAAACCGATGAGTTTTGCTCGGTTTGCTGTTACGTAAATGAGATGTCTTTGAGGACGGAAGAGGGCATCGCTAGTCCCAATCAAGACAATTTCTATACACTGCAGTCGAACTGCAGTTCTCTTGCGGACGAGGACTCTACGGAGTGCGATATCTGCAGCTCCTGGAACCTCCAAGAGTCCACTGATGTCTTGGACAGAAGGCTTCCTGCAAATGAATGTGATCAGCTCTGCGAGGTCTGCGAAATCTGCGGCGAAATATGCACAACTTACAATCCTGATCAAGAAGTCTTCCCTTCGAGAGATCCCAGAGATCACAGTCGGATAATCGAGTCTTCCTCGAGAAGTCTTCCTAAGAACAGCTCCAGAATCGACAACACTATCACCGATGTGACTTTGGATGAGGACAGCTTTGAGATCGAGAACTGTGGCCTACAAAGCGGTCCCGAGTCTTCAGAGACATTGGCTCACGACAAGAAACACCTGTCGTCCTTCACTTTGTCCGAGGCAGGTGTAGTCAAGAAGAAGTCGAGAGACATGTACTTCATCCCCAAAGACGAGATCGAGATCCTGTCGAGCGGCGGCAGGCGGATCAATCGTAAGGCTTCGCTGATCAAGAAGAAGCCCGAGGATCCAACAAACGCGTCCCAGGATAAAAGACTTTATTCGTCAGTGGACAATCTTCAACTAGCCAAAGTATCTTCTAGGAGTAACGACAAGGTTCTTAGGCCTAAGAACAGCAAGCTGATCGGTTCAGCGGACAATATTCGGACCTCGAAGAGTTCTAGGAGATGCAAATCGTTGCAGAGGTCCGCTGATAACGTGAGGTACGTGGATTCGTCTACGGATAATTTGGATTCCCTGGTAGAGAGTCTGGATAAGGAAGAAGAGAATCAGGGTACTGTCGATTGGACGGACAAGCCGAAAATCAGGGACAACGAAACGGTGAAGATGATCCTGACGAAGCATGGTATTAAGATAATCAGTGAGAAGGAGACCGCTCTGTAATCGAGGGACGGAGGAATAGTCGGATGCAATGAGAAATGTTGTTTTGTCGGAGGAAACCGCTCACATTAGTTCGAACAGAGTAAAATATACGTGACACAAATTAGCTGGAACTCTCGTTTAGGTAAAATTTGCAAACTTTAGCCTCTTGTGATGACCGGTACCTATCGCCTTCAAATGATACAAGATTTTTCACGTATAATTAGACTAGCTAACGAATACGTATATTATCGACACGTTCGGCTCAGAGGAACTGGTTCTTATCGAGCGACGAGAATGCCACGTTACAATTAATCCTGCTCATAGATTCTACTTAATTGAACCGTGAGAGGTCGACGTCTGAGATTTTTCTTATGTCGTGTTTCTGTGCGGGGGATGTTTATATTATCGTGGTGTTTTTATTCTTTCATTATTTATTTGTTTCTTTATTGTACGGACGTTTGTTGTATGTAGCATAATAGGTATTCTATGATTCATTGGAACACTATTGTGTTATATTATAAGTAATGTTGATTAATTTTAAGAACATTTTTTATTATCTTATAACAAGTGGTATCTTGTAAATAATGTTGATTAATTTTAAGAACATTTTTTTAGAGTCATATACATATTTCTTATGACCCTTACAAATTTTGCCATTTTAATTCTGAAATTACATATTTCTATAATCTACAAAATAACAGCTCGCATTCCTTTTATTTTAAAGGGATGTTTCAGTATCATTACTTCTTCCTGAATTATGTATTAAACAGTATTCTTCGAATACTCATTTATTCTCCCAACAATTTTAACACTAAAAAACGTTATAGAGCGACTGACGCAATTTCATTTTAGAAATTAAAAATGATAAAAGAGACCAATTTCGTGCGAACAAAATTTAGGTAGAATGTAAAAACATTTTACCTATTTAATTTATTTAACCTATTTTTATTTCGAAGAAAAAGCAAAGAGAAAGTTTAATTTTATATTTTCAATCTATACATTTCCCGGAGGAATTTATCATTTATTCTGTACCTTTCATTTAACTTATTATTTCTAGCATTCACAATCACAATCTCGCGTAATCCAGTACAAGCTCAAAAAATTCCAGATAGAATCCTAAAACGAGATTCCATCTCAGAACGCGACCTCTCGGGGATTGAGATCGCGTTTCACGCGACGAGGAGAGAAACGGGAATCTCGAAGCGTAATTATTATGCCGCACGTTGATCGTCGTAAATAGGAAGAGTTCTAATTATAATATGCATACAGGAACACAGGCCTTTGTAAAACTCCTTTTAGAAAGCGCAAGAAGAGAACGAATATTATATATAAATATATATATCGCGTTAACGAGTAACGAATTAATTTAAGAGCCGCCACTGTTCAACCGTAATTAACCGATTAAAATCGTTGACGCGTGCGTTGGAAAGAAAGATTTCGAAGCTTCACGATAGGTATCAAAATGGTACCCGTTAGAAGACACGCAGAGCGTTCTTCGCTTCGAATTCTTTGCAACTCACGGGCACAGGGGGCGGTACATTATCGAGACAATCCTAATAACGTGTCAATACTAAGGAAGATCGTTTCAATTAAATATATTCTACGTACTATGTAAGCGATATACGACGGGCTGCGGTACATCGATCAAAGAAGCCGTTCCGCCAACGCGTCCGTTAATTTCGATGTTGCGACCAAGTATGATCTGCCCAAAGTAACTTTCATTCGAGACGTGCCAATTGTTTTTTACACTTTTACAGACCGTGTTTTTTACATCTGTCGTGTGCCACGGCAGTATAGCTTTTCAAATCGTTGACACTTTCGTGCGTTAAGGAAATCGGAAACGATTCTTTAATTTGCATCACTTTCACACGGCGAAGCGTCTCGGGCCGTAGACTTTTTTAGAGAGCTGACGGGGAGAAGGCGCGGAAACGACATTCACCGATTCGATCCACTTTTTTTCTTGTTTCGGAATTTGAAACGAGCGCGAAAGGATACGTGCGTGAGCGTTTGTAGGTAGAGACGAATTTGGATTATTTCACTGTTCGAGGATTTTGATTATTTAAAGTGAATAATTTATAATATGTCGGTATAACGACGATAGATTCGGGGTAGTGGGATGGATTAAGGGTTTAATAGATGGGGTCAGGTTGAATAGACGCTTGAGTAGTCGCTTAAAGACAAGAAACCACTCTGATTTGATATGCTTATAAAAATATTTCACCTATTATTTCGGAAGAATTGAATATGTATAAGGTATGCACATATCACTGAAGTACAAAAAACATTTTCATTCCATCATCAATTGAATTACAATGTTTGCTCAATAAAAATTTCTCTCATCCTTCGAGTTTGAAATTCGAATTTTACTGTCGGTTACCTCCGATTCTGAAGACTATATAAGTTCGTGGATTGGTTACAAATGTTCAGTAATCGCTGCAATTGATTTGCCGGAAACGTTGGAACACCTTGTCGATGGAAATTTACAAAAGCAATGAGTAAACGAAAGAAAAGGAAGGAATTTGATTTGTCCTGTCGATTTCTTTCTGATGGTTCCTTTTTTCGCTACAAACGCTCCAGCGCCTGTTCCCTTCGTTTTAGACTCGCCGAAAGGGACGAATCGATCGAAATTGTTGTCGCCGCGGCCTCTTCCTGTAAGTATGGCAGTTTGATCAAGTCTGTCTTTCCTTTTATATATCCTGTTTGCACGGTGTCATGCGCTTGAGAAATCCCTACGGCGGTTATTGTTCTCACGGCCGAGCCTCGAATGCATCCAGCTGCGATGAGACCGTTCGCTGTTCGTGGAACGAGACTCCGCATTACTTACCGAAATCTCCGTGTATGCTGTTTTGTTTTAACTCTTTTTCATACACGATACTTGTACTTACCTTGAACACCTCGGCTGAACCCCGTTTCGGAACCGTCTTACGCTTAGGTGCAAATGGAATTGAGAAATTGTTGTTTTTTCGATTTTGTGGCTGAGCTTCTTAGGCGTAACCTCTGTTCTAGTGCCTAATTTTCCATTGTTTCTGCGGGGAATGAGACGTTCGAGGAGCATCGTGTGTCACTGGGAATGATTTTGTTGAGAGAGAACGATTCTTTTCAGTTCCGGGAAAACTCTCCCCTTTACGTTGTTACGATATCTCCCCTTACCACCAACCCCTGTTTTTGTTGGTATTGGTATTTACGCAAATCTTATTTATTCACCCCTAAAACAAACTCTGTCCGCTGTTCTTTGTCATTGTATAGTGACGTAGATAGACGAAGGTGGCGAGTAAATGCTCAAGCTGACGATATTCTACACTTAACCCTTTGGGGACGCCGTTCTGTTTAACCCGTTGGACGCCATTTTGGAACTCTCGCGTGCCACTCTCGTGTTGTTCTTTTCTGCGTGAATATTCGGTTGATTTCGTGTGAAACAAAATTGTCTTCCCTATAGTGAACTATTTTTTGAACATCGTCCTATTTTGAATTATAATCGATAAATGCGAAGTATCTCCTTATGGGATAAGACGGGTGTTTAATAAAAATATATTTAATAAATTTGATAAAAATTCTTTTTCATAGATTTGTACGAAGTATGTATGTTATTTTTCCGTTCGGAAATTGAGAATTGAAGTATTAGAGATACAAGACAGTCGCCGATGATAGAGAGTATGGCAACCTGGAGGTATCCCGGCCTTCGACCGCAAAGGGTTAATTAACAAAGTGCTTCCTGAGTGCGACTGAAACGGCCTTAGGCCGCCCTTGTATCTTTTTCAACCAACTCCGCTTCTTTTTCTACTCCTGTATCTCCGTTACTTTGTGTCTCTATTTTAAATTATTTCGCGGGACATGTGTAATGTGTTTGGCCATCGCGACTTCTATCATGCACTCGGTACGGCCGAGAAGAATTAGCCAAAGTATTCTTTGAAACAATTGCAAAATTCACGAAGGAAAATATTCCTAAGAATCCTCTGTTATTTTAAAACATCAAGGAAATGAGGGAAACGGATACGCAATAAGGTTTGGACTTACTTAAGGAAATTGGAATTAAATTGAAAAGTAATATTGTATTCAGATATACTGAAATGGGAATCGGCGCTCTAGTTTTTTTAAAGACGATTTTAATCAAATAAATTTCTGAACAAAATTTCCTGGTAAAAGAAGTTCGAAGTAAAAGTATTTTCCAAGATTTAATTATTTTCTTGTTGCAAAATGAAGAATGAATGAAGATGGTAGAAGTCTATAACTAACCAAGTTCAATTTCTGATTATCAATGTTTCAAAAATATAAACCTAGTAATTTCCCTTGATCTCTTAGGTCTGCGACTAACATGAAATTTTACATAAAACGTTCGAGTGGACAAAGAATTTAACAGTTTAGCAAAAGAGTCTCGAAGATATCAATTTAGCAGCAAACAGTATCAATTCTCCTCGACGTTTACTTCAAAAATTAACCTAATATTAATCAAATAACTAAATCAACCCTGCAAAGATTCTCCGAGGTTAAGGCACGCAAGGTATTCATCAGTAAAAATAGATAACCTTAAAAAATAAGCAAAAGTAGTATATAATCGAAATGGCACGAGTATTATCAATCCAAAATGAAGATTATATACTGGCCCAGATCTTGTACCCAATGTTAATCGTCAGAAGAAGAAGACAGATTGACGTTCCCAAGGGAATGAAACAATGAAAAGAAAGAATGATTCGAAAAGAAAAGTGAGAAGGAAAAATAAATTCGATGGCATAATAGAAGTCGATGTGTGGTTCGGTTCTGATGGAGCATGTGATATGTGTTTTCCAGGGTACAGCAAAACCTGCATGCCTACTGTAAGACAGATAGTTGACTGTCTCGTTGCTGCTCGACCCATGCCAATCCGATGCGGCCCCTGCCTTACTGCTAAACGTTCTAATACTGCTACTAACAATCGCGATAGTAACGCCGCCAGCCGCGTTAGCAGCACGGCTAACAGCAACAACATCAACAGCTACATCAACAACAACAAGAACGTACACGCCTACGAGAATATCCAAAGCTTTAGTATCCGCGAGAAACGGCTGATTAACCGTGCAACCAGCCGCGACTAGGATTTACTAGTTTCGCAGCAGTGCTCGGGGGAATACCTGAAACCGGTTCTTTCGAAATTTCTTTTAATCCCGCCAAACGGCGGCGACGGCTGGAGGAGCAGCGTTCATTTCGGCCAGGAAGTTCCTCGGCTTAATCGTGATTTATTAAAAGAAAATTAATCTCCGCGCTTACGACAGTTTTCGCAATTGCCCGTCAAAGATAGTTTATTATTGTTTATTATATTGTATTATAATTATATATGATTATATATTTATTATATTGTGATAGTTTATTATTATTGATAGTTTTCTGTGAGAAAAAGAGAGTCCTTTGTTCGTTGTAAATCTTCATTTACTTTATAATTTAATTGTTTGTAATAGGAAAATGGTACTTCATTTTAAATTGAAAGGAAAGAAGAATAGTCATGTTTCTTACATTCGGTTTTATTTTTGTTTGACACTATGAGACTGCGAATTTTCTGGAAGATCGTATTAATGTGAATGTGGTATTTTTAATAATTGTAGAGTAAGTCAAGATTAAGCCTAAACTTCTGTGTTTTTGTTATGAAGTACAGGAGGGGGTGGGGGGAAATCAAATTTATGAGGTATTTAATGATGTTAGCCGAAGTAGGGTGATTTAATGTAAATTTACTTAATTTATTTGAGTCGGCAGTGAAGGCAGGGTTTATTTAAGTTTCTGATTATTTTCATTCTATATTTGCATAGAGATTGTTTCACGGCTTTAATCATGATACAATCTATTTTCCTTTAACAGTTTTATTTAATTTCAAATTTTAGGAGAAAATAAATTGTTATGAATGATTGTTTTTGTATTGTTTAATTAAAATGTATTTACATTATAATTTAAACGATAGTTTATTTAGATCATATTATTGTAAATTGTAATAATTCTTATTTATATATTTTATTATAAATATGAAATACAAATATTTATTTATGTATGTTACTACTATTATTTAGTTTAATATAGGTTTATTTAAACTTGTGATAAAGTTTCAATTTTTTGGACTGATTAGATTGAAGTTCTATAGAACGTGTTTGTTTATAACAAAGAGAGATATATGTGTCAATGCTTAATACGTAAATGCGTAGGTTGCTTAGTGTCTCTAAACATTTTAGGGATTCTAATAACAAGTATAGGCTAATGCATTGTAATTTTAAAGCATCAACATGTACCTGGCTTATGGAGAGCTGACAATAT